AAAAAAAAAAAAAAAAAAAAAAAAAGAATCTTAAGCAACTGAAATATGTAGATTAAGAAATTCAAGATCTTAGAATTCTGCTCAAATCTCAAAATATTAGAAAATACTATGACCGACTTGATCATAGGATTCAAGATTAAACATTTTTTGGGTCCTTTAACTCGTTTTCAATGCATGGAATTGACGTGATAAAATTAGCACATTATGGACAACTCAATGCATCTGTAAACATGCAAACAATTCCTTTAAAATTTAAAACATAAATTTTCATAAGCACAAGTGATTTTATAGCTGTCACTTCTCAAGTATGTCTGCATGTCTGGTGCCATCACTTCTTTACACCTCCAAACCATTCAGCCATGTCCTCCTCCTCCTCTGCGCCGTCGTCACTATCAACAGACTCGATGAATGTCTTTTCATGCCCCTCATGCTTGCCATTCATTGCCATTTCCATTCTCCACAATTCTCGCCTCCGCATTTCATGTGAGAAGTCACTCTTACCCCCAGCGACTGGAAAGCGCATGTCCCATGACCTAACACTATCGTCATCTTCATCCCTGTCCTCCACAAATTCCAGTGAATCATAATCCTCATAACCACTTTTATTGTCTTGTCCAAGCCGCGCCCGAGTTTGGTGGTTTCTTATACTGTTGTTCGCGTGTTGACAGACAGTGCCAGCACTGTGCGAAGCAATTGGTCTCTTATGATCGCACTTCAGACATACCATGTTTCTCCTGAAGTTGATGTAATTACACCTACAAAAGACGTACCACCATGTAAATAAAAGGGCATACTACATAGTTAACTTAATCCTTTTTTGTAGTGTTTACTTTGAGTGTGTGTGTGTCTATCTATATATAAATATATGACATGGATCTCAAGCAAGTCCTACGAGTCGCATTCCCATTCTCCAGGATTTAAGTGTCGTTTAGGAGGCTTCTCCTTGCATTGTAAACACTTTGTGTTTCTAGCAAAGTTTAAGAAGTTGCATCTGCAGAAAATTAAGAGTCAATAAATCAACTTGAAAAGCTAAAATGATTATCGAGAAAGTAAACTTATTTTTTCAATTAACTCATTACTTGCCACAAACCCAGTCTCCTTTCTTCAAAGGAAGGTTTTCTTGTTCTGCTGCTACTTTTCGTAGTCTTTCCTCAGAGAAGGTGTCACATCGCAGACACTTGATATTTCGGGCAAAATTATGGAAATTGCATCTGAACAATAACAAGAAAAAATTACAAAGTTGCAGAATATAATGCAGGTCCAAATAAATAGCCTAATAGCTGAAATGCACATCTTACTTGGGACAAATCCAGTCACCGTGCTTCATTGGGCCAGCAAATTGAGTCCTTTGCTGGTGAACATCACTCTCCTGGGACCACACCCGAGTGGCGGTTTTTGGTTGTTCCTCATCATGTCCCACAACTCTAATTTCGACCATTTGTTTCAATAATGTTCTTACAGATTCCTTAACCCTTTTGTTCAAGCACGGCTTGTTTTCCACAGAATCAACTATAGGATCAAGACCATATGTCAATACTAAACGCATTATGTCCACCGTCCTACCACCTTCACCCTCACTTGCCTTGCCGTATGCTCTATCACATTCACCTCTTAAAATGCACGAGCTGCAAACCTACTAAAAACCAATTTTCAATGTCTTAAAATCAAGTGTCATTAGCATAAAATTGTTTTTTCATAATAGAATCGAGACGGTCAGCACATACATTCCCTTCATCAATTCCTACATGATATCTCATACGTTTTCCGGAGTTGACAACTTTACGGTCTGTGCTCGGACATCCGGACCCAGCTACTACCATAATATCTTTCCTTGACAAGTACCTGCCCATAAGAGGCTTGATATTTATGCTAGAAAGCAGCTCGGATTATTCTAGAATATAAACATCAGCAACTCATTACATTTCACAATAATTTTCTCTTCAGAAAATTGAATAGATCACTTATGAAATGAAATGAAATTTAAAAACCCACAAAAAACATAACCCAAATAAAAATGAAACAAAAAAAGAAAAATAAAACGAAACCAAATAATGAGCCTTCTTCAATCATCAAGCTCAAGACAAGAAACCTTATTAGCTGGTAATGATCGCGCGCAAAGTTGAGTGAAGCAGTTCGGATCAAATTCGCCTCCTTACTACCCAATTCTCGAGCAGGCTCAAATGGATTCCCAACTTCATCGAAATACCCATCTCTAAGCAATCTCTTCATGAAATCCCCCCATTCACTCCATGGATGCCAAACCTGGATTCCAGAAGAAGCCCCTTTATGTTTCTGGGCCAAAATTTCCTGTCCCTCATTCCGAACAGGGGAATCGAATCGAGTTTTAGAGGAATGTGATTCTCGAGCTGCATCTAGAACGAACTGAATTGCAGGGTTGTGAAGCGAAGAAGGTTTGGAGGTATAGTGGTGGATTTGAGAAATTGGTGAGCTCAATTTAGGGTTTCGGAGAAGGGATTTGAGGGTTTTGACGGACATCATTATTGTCCTTTCTGGAAACTAAAAAAAGAGACGGACATCATATTGTTTTGAAATTGAGCTTATTAACTCCACTGGAGTGACATAAGCTACCGGTTGAAAGAGTTAACTTTATCTATGTATACTTATATAAAATGTCATCCTATTTATTAGAATTAATAGGCAAAAAAGTCAAAGGTAATTAATGTTTATTGAAAATAAAACGACATTAATTACAGATTTGTTTTGGTATTTATAGGCTTAACATTAAAGATTTGTTATGGATAAAAATCAAAACCCACTAGTCTATATCTTGTGCACATACACAGATTTACATAAAATATTATAAGTAATATTTGAGAATTTAATATTAAAATTCTAGATAATGAACATATTACATTTTCATTAATGATTTTATTATTATGAGTAATTGTTTATTATCATTAGATAACAGTTTGATTATTATTATTATTATTATTATTATCATTATTATTATTATTATTATTATTATTATTATTATATATATATATATATATAATATTCTAAAGTTGTTTGACTATGTTATTAAAACAATTTACTAATTGTATTTAAAGAAATTTTTTCATGAGATATGAAAGAAAAAGATAACATTGATGTTAGTATAAATAACTTGAAATAATTGTTTATTATTATGTAATTTATATTTAATGTGAATTATTATTAGTTGGTATTAGCAATAATTATTATGTAATATAATAGAAAAAATGCACTATTACACTTAATATGATGCATTAATGTGAGAAGTAAAAAAATATTAATGTTAAATTTTGTAACCGAAAATGGAGGGAAAATTTTAGAGGTTTTATTAAATAGGTTTTATTAAATGCTATATGTTAGCAATTATATACATATAGATTTTTTACCTTTGCTGGAAAGTCAAAGCTAAGTATAGATTTATTTTATCCAATAACATCGGTTTAGTTAAAAAAATTTCAAAAGATCGGTTTTAATGTCAAGCATATAAATAAAGATTTAATTGGTTTTAATAACGCAGATTTAATCGATTTTAATAATTGCATAGAATTTCAAAGATGTTTATTTATTATAAAAAATTAAATTCTAAAAAAATATTTGTGTATATTTTATAAAATGTCTGTACAAAATGTTTTACTTTAAATTTATTTATATAATTTAAATTAATTACATGGCTAAATTGCATTTTTGGTCTTGCAGGTTTTAGCGCGTCGCAATTTTGGTCCCGAGGTTTGAACTTTTCGCGATTTGATCCTGTGATTTAAAATTTGGGTGCAATTTCAGTCCTCCCGGCCTTGGAATATGGACTTTCTCGCCGTGTGAAGCACGTGTCCCTCACGTGATACATTTTCCGGCCAAATTCGCTGAGTTGGCGTTTCCGTGGCACGTGGAAAATAAAAAAAATCCAAAAAAAATTCAAAAATAAAATAAAAAAACGTGGCATTATTAAACTAAAATTCATGTTTAAATAAAGAGGAAAATCAGAAAACGAAGAACTTGAAATCAAATTCGTAACCCTATTTTTTTCCCCAAATCTGCTCCCTCAAATTCGTAACCCTATTTTCGTCCCCAAATTTGCTCTCTCAAATTCGTAACCCTAATTTCTTCCCCAAATCCGTAACCATGTCCGAGAGCTCCCATGTTAACGATGAGTGATACTGCCGTTGCGGTAAGAGGTCGGTCATACGCACCTCTTGGACCAGCAAAAATCCTGGTCGTCGTTTTCGTTCCTGCTATGATTACGAGGAGGTAATGGTTATTTTTCTTTGTTCTTAATTTAGGTTTTTGTACGCACCTCTTTGTTCTTAATCCTGGTCGTCCATAATGGTTGATGAATAGTATTTTTTTTTTTTTGGTTTCTTGTGTAAAATCAGAACGGAGGTTGTGAGATTTTTTCTTGGGTTGATCCACCAATGTGCAAACGATCGAAGCAAATTATTCCTGGACTCCTACGAAAATCAAATGAATTGCGTGCTCAAAATGAAGAATTGGAAGAGACAAATTTGAAAATTAAGGATGAAATGAAAGTGTTGGTTTTAGAGAACAAAAGGTTGCAGTTGAAGTTGCAAGAGGCAAGTTTGAAAATGAAGGATGAAAAAAAGATGTTGGTTTTAGAGAAAAAAATGTTGCAGTTGAAGTTGCATAGAAAGTCAAAGACTACATTTTGGTTAGTCGTTGGAGTAGTATGCATGTTCTTGTACTTGTCTTCAAAGAAGAACCAACTCAATGGTTCTGCTCAATTGAAAATGCTTGTTTAGTGGTTTGAACTGAAACTTGGTGTAGTGGTTTGAACTAAAAGTTGGTTTAGATTAGATTGTGTTGAATGCATTGTAATTTGCACTTTGTTGTTGTTGCTTAGTGGTTTCAATGTAGGTTGGTTTAGATTGTGGTGTATTGTGCAATGTTGCACTGATTTTGTAATGTATTTACCAAGAGTTGTTATCAAGATTTTGTTATGTAATTTCTTTCCATGAAGTGAAGTTTTTCAGTTCTCTATGTTTATCAAGTTGGTTTTTTTAGTTATCAAGGTTGGTTTCAACTTTATAAGTTGTTTACAAAACAAAACTAAACCTAGGTTGTTTGAGTTTTTTAACTTTTAACATAGGATTACACAAAACCAGCATCAAGCATTTTAGTTCAAACCAATCAGTACTATCATCAAGCCAAACCAATCAGCATCAAGCCAAACCAATCAATACTAACATCAACCAAAAGGTTAACAAATGTTCACTTCCTAATGTCACCCTTCTAAGCCAAAACAATGATTAACCAAAACAAGATGTACCAGCATCTACAAAACCACAAAACCATCACCAGTTAATTACCACAAAAATGATCAACACAATGATCAACACAAAGTTTTGAGATTAATTTACAAAAGGTAACAACATCTTCAGCCTTCAAACTCCTTGACTTTTTTCCTGAGACATTTGTAATTGTTGGTGAGGTGTAGGCCCAACTCTGTTTGCACTCTTTGGAATTTGATATTCTTCACATTCTGGTCCTAGAGACTCCAAATCAACATCTTCACCTTCATCCCCATCAACTATCACTGGTGGCAGAAGTGTGGGATTCTAAACAGAAAAAGAAACAGACACATGAACAATGTACTAATATACTTAAAAGGATTAAATGATCAACATGAATAGCAATATCTACTAATATACTTACAGTATTGGGTTTAAGACCATAGGTCAATCTCTTTTTAGCCTTTTCATCACTTGCAGCTGCCTTCCTCTTTGTTTCAAGCTTCAATGAAGAAAGAAAAGAAAAAAATGAAAATGACATTAATTTATTGGCATATATAATATATAAATAACAAAACTTGATAAAATGTAACTCACAATTGTTTCAAAAGCTCTTTGCAGTGGGCTTTTGTTTTGTTCTGTGTAAGTTGACTTTGGGCTTCCAATCTTGTTCCTTTCTCTTGTCACAGGATCTTGAATTATGCCCAGGCACACCACATTTCTTACATGTCACAGTTGGTTTTTGTCTCTTCATCTTCATGGGTTGTTTCCCTTTCCTGTGTTTCTTTTTTTTCTCCTCAGTGTCTCCAACATCTTTTCTTCTTCTGGTAGAAGGTCTGCCAGCCCCCCTGCCAAAGTTGGGTGGTAATGGGGGGATAAAGAGGGTCTGTCTCCATAGCAAGGGCCCATTTGTGCCTAAGATTGACCCTCTAAAAACCTTTCTATAACACTCAGTGGAGTAACACTCATGCACAAAATCAACAGGAAGCAACTTTTGTGCTATAATAGCACTACAAGCATGTTTACATGGAATTCCTCCCAAATCCCATACCTTGCAAGTACAAGTCCTCCTCTCCAAATCCACATTGAACTGAGACCCATCATAACATTTAATTTGGTAGTGCTTATCATCACACTTGATTGGCATGCAGTCACAAACATGGGGCAAATGTTTTTGAAGAATCAGATTCACATTAGGACAAATCTTTCCTTTCCACTTAAGCTCTGACTTATCTCTTTTTTTTTTTGCATCTTAATGCAAATGTATTCCCTGATCCACTCTAGCATAGTAATGATAGGTTTTTCTCTAGCTTCAAGTATGTTGCTAGTAATTGTTTCACAAACATTATTAAGCAACATATCACACTTTGACAGCTCTGAGAAATGAGACCTAGACCATTGTTGTGGTGGTTTATCAAGGAACCACTTGAAAGCATCTACACTCATATCCTTAATCTCCAACATCCTGCCATTGAACTCCCCTACAGTTGTGGCTTGTGCTGCTCTCCAAACTGCATGCTTATAGGCCATTCCCCTAAAACCTGCCTTCATGAAGTTGTTATGAAGATGTCTGACACAAAATCTGTGACTAGCTCCAGGGAAAACAGTGTCAAAAGCTTTGATAAGACCTTTTTGCTTATCAGAAATGAATGTAAAATGCTCAGGACAACTGATTCCTAAATCCTTCTTTAGGATTATGAGAAACCATTCTCATGTTTCAAAGCATTCAATTCCAACAACAACAAAAGCAATAGGAAAAAGGTTATTATTTGGGTCTACACCCACTGCAGTCAAAAGAATCCCTCTATGTGGACCCTTCAAATGGCATCCATCAACACCAACTATAGGCCACCAACTATAGGCCTATATCCAGCTTTGAACCCCTCTTTCAGAGCATTAAAGCAAATATAGAATTTGCTAAATCTCTCTTCACCATTCTCCTTCTCAATGGCAAGTATCACTGTTGATCCAGGGTTTGAAGTCCTTAACTCTTCTGCATAATCCCACAATTGGGAAAATTGATCATCAGGATGTCCTTCAAGTTGTGCAAGAGCTCTTCTCTTAGCTCTATAGGCTTGATCCTTAGATATATTCACATTCAACTTATGAATAACATCTAGTCTCCAGCCTTTCACACTTCTTTTAGGACCAGTTTGAAAATTACTGATGAATTTCTCACTCAACCATTTTGATTTGATATTTTTAACATTAAATGTTTCAAAGCAAGAGTGAGTAGAGTTGTATTCTCTGATTTGGAAACTAGCT